TAATAAATAAAACCAGTTCCAGTTTGCAGGGAACCATTAGTTAGTTCCACAAAAGGCTCCTGGACTTCTTACGTGCACTGTGTAAGTGCGACTGGAAGAGGACAGGCTGGTGATCTTGGTTAAGTCTCTTCAGCGATGGAGGACCCAGTTTCCTTCTTCGTAAAAACGGTGTGATCATAGGGAAATAATGCACTAAGGTATAATTGTAAGTGCTTAATACAGTGGTTCCCGAGGTGTGATCTCCAGACCAGTAGCACCAGTACCACCTGGGAACTCCACAGAAATGCAAATTCTAGGGCCTCACCCCAGATTTACAGAATCAGAAACTCTATGGGGAGGACTAGGAAGCAATCTGTTTAAACAAGTCTTGGAGGTGATGAGGATTCATGCTCAAGTTTGAGAACCGCAGGGTTAATAGGTGGTAACTATTAGCAGTTGGTACTTGAGGCTGCAGAGACAACGAAAAACTCAGCTGGCTAAAGTTAAGCACTAAGGTGCCAGCAGCACCCACAGGGCTCTCAACTGCCTGGGTCCCCGCCCTCACTCCCGTCTCACTCAACAGGCCCCTCCGAGAGCGCTCGCTGACTGGTGGAGTTTCTGGTCGACATTCACCACCCACCCATCTCCCTTTTAAAAAAATAGTTAACAATTATTGATTGTATATTTAAAAATAACTAGAATACTTGTAATGTTTCCAACACAAAGAATGTTTGAGGTGATGTGTATTCCAATTGCCTTGACTTGGTAATGACGCATTGTATATGTGTATCAAAATATCACTTCCCTCCCCAAAATATCATGTCCCTCCCCAAAATATGTATAATTGTGATCTCTTTCTTTCTTTCTTTTTTCTTTCTTTCTTTTCTTTCCTTCCTTTTCTTTCTTGTTTCCTTTCTTTCCTTTCTTTTCCTTCCTGTTCCTTCTTCCTTTCCTCCTTCTCTTCCTTCCTTCCGTTTCTTCCTTTCTTTTCTTTTGCTTTTTCTTTTCTTTCCTTTTTTCTTTTCTTTTTCCTTTTCTTTCTTCTTTCTTTCTTTTCTTTTCTCTTTTTCTTTTCTTTCTTTTCTTCCTTCCTTCTTCCTTTCTTTCTTTTCTTTCATTTCCTTCTTTTTTTCCTTTCTTTTCTTTCTTCCTTCCTTCTTCTTCCTTCTTTTTCCTTTCTCCTCTCTTCTCCTTCTTTCTTTTCTTTGAAAGAAGGGACTCAACTTTCTGTCGCCCAGACAAAGTGGGAAGTGAAGTGTAACAAATCAGCCTCAGCCAACCCTGGGCTCAAGTGATCTGCCTCCCTCCCAGCCTCCTCCAAGTAGCTGGCATGATGCAACCATACCTGGCTAATTTTTTTTTTTTTTTTTTTTTTTTTTTTTTTTTTTTTTGGTAGAAAATCGTCCTCATGTTACCCCAGCTTGATCTAAGAAGCCCTTGAAGCCCTCAAATTTTGAGGAGAATAGGGTCTTGAGTTGCCCGCAGCGCTGATCTCGAAACTTCCTGTTTGAGCTTTAAGCAGTCCTCCTCCTTCGGCCTCCCAACAGTGCCTGGGAATTATAGGGATGAGCCACCACACCCGGCCAATGTATCAATTTTTAAAGGAAACAAAAAGGCGTGGAAACCAAAAAGTATGCGACTGGGAAGTTTCCTAGGAAAAAGAGGTTTTCCTTGCTCTTTAAGGTTTCATTTTTTTTTTTTTTTGGAGACGGTGTCTCGCTCCTGATCGTCGAGGCTGGAGGCAGTGGTTGTGAAACTCAGCTCACTGCAACCTCTGCCCTCCCAGGTTCAAAGCGATTCTCGTGCTCAAAGCATCCTGAGTAGCTGGATTACAGGTGCCCTGCTACCACCGCCCCGGCTAATTTTTTGTATTTTTTTTTTTTTTTTAGTAAGAGACAGTTTTTTGGTTTTTTTTTTTAGTAGAGACCGGGGTTTCACCAGCTGGCCAGGGCTGTTTCCTCCGAACTCCTTAACCCTTCAGCCTCCTGCCCCTCAGGCCTCGCCAAAGGTGCTGGGATTCCAGGCGTGAGCCACCGTGGCCCCGGCAAGCTCATTAGGTGTTACTTCTAAATCGAATCGTTCCCCTTATTTTAGCCAAGGTGTTTGGCTCTTCCCTGGCAAAATGACAAACTGGAATTCATGCAAACCTCAACAACCAGTTTTAGGGTACATTATTCCCCTGCCTTTTTTTCTTTTACTTCCCATGGGATGATTTAGAGCTTATTCCTTCC